CTCTCTGCTCCTTTAGTGCTATACTAACCTTTCAGCTGCAGTGGCTCAAGTGGTTAAGACGCTGAACTTCAGGCTGTGGAAGGTCAGTAGTTCAGCAGTTCGAGACCCGGGTGCCGCAAGACGGGGTGAGCTCCTGTCTCTAGTTCCAGCTCCTGCCAACCTAGCAGTTCGAAAGCAAGAAATTGCAAGTAGATAAATAGGTACCACTTTGGTAGGAAGGTAACAGCGTTCCGTGTGCCTTGGTGTTTAGTCATGCCGGCCACATGACCACGGAAACGTCTTCGGACAGCGCTGGCTCTTCGGCTTTGAAATGGAGATGAGCACCGCAACCCTAGAGTCGGACTCAACTGGCTTTCGAGCAAGGGAACCTTTACCTTTACCTTTAACCTTTCTAAATTTAAAATTAAGAAATTTGTTAAAAGGAAATTCTCAATGTACAGCGTTGTAGAGACGGGAGTAAGGTATGGTTGGAAGATGCTCTTATCCTAGGCCTTGCCATCTTCCTTCTCCCCCTGCCAGTGGAGAACCTAAGCCTTTCAGACCTATACTACTTTTACACGGTTGTCCTCTTAATTGTCTAGAAGCTTCTTACAGCTGTATTCCATGTGTCAGAACTTTAACATAAAGACATTAACTTCATTGGAATTTATTCTTGAGTAAGTATGGATAGGATAAGCAATTGTAGTCTGCTTTTTGGTCTCACAGCATTATCATGTGTGTGGACAATTGTACTGCTGGTGTGGAGGAGTCTTCTTCCAACACCTGGAAATTCACCCGTCTGTAGAAATTACCTACACACAGGGCATGTGTGTTTAATGGTTGCTCTCTAAAAATAGGTGTCTGATGGCACTTTAAGTTAACTATCTGGTCAGCATAAAAATCAGAGGTATTGAGACATTTTGTATTTATATCAATAGATCTGGAGTGAGAACATAAGAGTGATATTAGCACATAAGAGAGTTTGATATTGGCTCCTAAGTTTTGCAGGTAGAGTCCTAAGAGCTGCACCAGATTTGTCTTGGTCTCTTTGCTGATGTAATGGTGGTAATGAAGGTTTGCCCATATAAGCAGAATACGGCACAACTGCAGTTTGTTCAGTTGGGTCTGGGCTGAGTTCCAGGTTGTATCTATGGGGTCAGGTAGACTATCTGTTGTGTTCTCTGTACCGGGGCAGACAGTTCAGTAAAGACACAAGCATTTTTGTCTGTGTTTCCTCATTGGGAGATGTGGTTGACATAGCAGGTAGGATAGTTTTGAGTTGTTAATGGGTCCTCAGACTCTGGCTGGCTTTGGTAGTAGGCCATTATTTGTAGTCATTATTAACTCCCTCCTTCCTGACAAAGTAAACTTCAATTCATGAAAGCATATACTCGGGAAAGCTTTTTTGGTCTTCAAGGAGCTATTGAACTTGAATCTTATTCTATTAATGCAGACTAACATGGCTACTCTGCCCCCTTTCCTAATTCTGTCTCCTAACTCAGTGTAGCATTGATGAGATTATAGCTATGTGCTAAACATATATTGAGAAAAAAATTGCCACCTCTCCAGACACCTGCTCTAGATGGCATACTTGCTTGATAGACTTGTATTTCTTCCCTTGCTATGAGCATAATGGCATGAGATGCCAGACCTGTACTGGATGTCTTGTATTCTTCTACCATAAGTCTGGGATTGTTTGTATTACAAATCAGCAGAATCCACTACTTGTCACTAAAACTGTTTGTTAAATTTATCAAACGTCAAAACAGGAGAAACAAATTTCATGGCACAGTTTCTTTTATGCTTTGGATATATAAACACTTATTAACATTATAGCGTTCCTCCTCCTATTCCTTTTGTCTGCTGATTTCAAGAACCATGTCACTTTTCTCCTGTTGGGTTTGCGCACACATACTGAGCGGTTATAAATATTTTAAACACAAAAGAGCCAAAGGGTGGCTTTTATTATTTTTATTTTATTAAAACGTTGTATGCTGCCTTTGCAGCTCAAGGGGGCTTAATTTATTCCACAAACATAAAATAAATCATTCATAAAACACTCCACAGAAAAAAAAACCTTTGCCTGCAGCTCACGTCCCACTAAATGCTGTCAAACATTACAGCCCTGCAGTGCTATTTAAAAGCCTCCAAAAGAGGATGCCCCCTCAGTACTTCAGAAGCCCTTTTCCAAAAACGAGACAAACAAAAAAAAAAACCCTGGAAGGCTCTGTTGAAAAGAAATGGGATCTAGATCATGCCAGACAACCAACCCTGGGTAATGGGAGTCTACAGGATGCTGACTAGCAGAGTGTAATCCTAAGTTCTCTCGTCCATAGGTAGTTCACGGTCACTTGTGATATCTCTATTTCTGCTTCAAACCACTGCTTGTAATTGTCATGTTTCCTGTACTTGTTATTGACTGGCCGCTCTCCTTGCACGTAGATCGCATGGCTTGCTGGCCAGTCGGGTAGTAGCAAGTGTCAAAATAGGCAGATCGAGATGGGTACCCATGTTAGTCAGTCTGCAGCAGTAGAAAAGAGCAAGAGCCCAGTAGCACCTTAAAGACTAACAACATTTGTGGCAGGGGATGAGCTTTCATGAGTCACTACTCACTTCTTCAGATACTGAAGAAATGTGCAGTGGCTCACGAGAGCTTATACCCTGCAACAAATGTTGTTAGTCTTTAAAGTGCTACTGGAGTTTTGCTCTTTTCTAGTAAAACAGAGAGAGTCTTTTTTTTTTTTGTAAAGCAATACATTTTACTGCAATCAACCACCTTTAGCCTTAAATCACTTTGAAAATTGAGTTTGTGGCTAATATGTCTTCAACTGTGTTACATTCTCCATTAACCTTAACGTGGGAAGTTTTTAGAGGGTCCATTTTCTTGGAGAGCCTGCAAGAGATTTGTATTGCATAAAGCTTGCTCATACATAACAAGTTGGGCAGTAGGAGCACTGGATGAAGCACACAGGAAGGCAGCGCTGGATCCAAACAAGCCTCTGTGTTGCATCCCCAGAACTGAAAATATCTCTGTCTGCTGGGTAGACTGTAAGAACAGTATCGATCTAGTTTTCCTTGAAGCCACATTCCGCCAGCTTGGGCTAAATGTACCAACAATGGTTGACTATCCAAGCAAGCTGAGGTCTGTTGTACTTGATTGCTAGGTCAAATGACACTAACAAGCAACTACCATATTATGCCAGAATCCAGAGAGAGTACTGTCTCTTGATTTGCCTTATAATAACAGCTGCCGCCAGAGTTGCTTGTGTATCATATTTATGTGCAAAGAATACAGGGTTTTGATAATAACGGCGAAGAGCAGTGTGTCTAGTGAGTATGTACAATGACATGACACTAAATGTATCCTGTACCACTGCTTTTATCAGGTTTGTCAAGGTATTACATGAACAGCTAATAAATGTCAGTCCTGTTCAGTATGTGTTCCATCTGCTGTTGAATTTTTCACTGCTTATCTCATTCATATTCAACTTGTAACTTGATAATTCTGTCCTTGGAGAATTCACTATTTTATAGTAGAAAGCATGCTTTTGCAGAAGGAAGAGACAACTCGGCAGTTAGGTGTGTAAACTCACTTAATTGAGGCTCTACATAGTGCCAGTTTGCCTGCAAATTGGAGGCACTAGTATATTTGGGAGCACTGTTAATATACTCTAAAATACCAAGTTGTCATTATGACTTTGACCTTCGAAGAATGTTTACTGTAACAGTCTAAGCCTGTATTGGAAATGAACACCTGTTCGTTCACCACAGGTGACCAACTATCTCCTTTCAGGGTTAGGTTGGAAACCTTATTTTGTAAAATGGAAGATTAATTGGCTCTTTCAGGCTGTTGATCAACCAGTTGCCTAATGGAAGTTATATGGGTTGGTGGGCTAATGAAATTGTTTTATTTTCTAGTAGTTTTGGACTCTTAAGTTTGAAGGGTATGTTTAACTTTTACAGTTGAAGTGTGCTTGTGATTAAAAGCCAAAGTAAACTGTCCTTCAGAAGAACTGCCACCTTAGTCACAACAACTTCGCTGTCAAAGTCTCATTTGTGAATACAGACACACACGCATGCCTACATCAGTATGCAATTTATTGTGGCTAGAGTACACTTGTGACTGGATTGCTAAAAGAATCTAAATGGAAGACTTGACTAGCCTTGCTTGGCGCATCCATGTTTGTGGCGCAAAACTTCCCTATCATCATCATCATCCCAATATCTGGGCAACCTGTAATTGTAAATGACATATCAATTATATTCATCACTGCCTAGCTTTGCTAAATTTAAATCTCACTAGGTTTGCCATTTGTGTGGGACTTCAGTTTTTCTGTGGGACTTAAGGAAAATGCATCATGGAAAGTATTTCTATTTGTTGCGTTATTTGCTCCATGTTTACAAAGCTACTTGTTTTTAAATATTTCCTTAACATACAATGAACTAGTTTGCTAGTACAGCACTGATTTTAACTGAGTTACTACCAAGTCTTTTATTAACAGTATTAACAGATTAGTCTAGCAGAAAGAGGCAACGGTTGGTAGGTACCTTAGAAGGCTTTGTGAAGGTGAATGTCTTATATAAAGTAGTCCATGGATTCAGTCTCTAAATTAGAATGACTTAACTCTTCTTTTCCACCTGTCTCTGTTTCCATCCCCAATTGGCTTAGCATTTATTTTTTCCCTGTGAGGAGGTGGTTCTTTTATACATGGGTGGTATGATTGCACTAAAATAGGGTTAAGGTTGGATACAAAGTAACTAGCTCATGCTACATTTAAATCAGGCTCCTAAAAAATATCTTAATTCTTGCAAGAAAAACATGTTAAATGAATTTGAAAAGATTAGATTGGAATTGCCTGAAATTCTATTAAGCCACACTGCATGGACGTGCTGGGAATATAAATACAATTACTGTAAATTTGTACAAACTGATTTGTTGCATTATCTTGCTAATCTAACATATGGTACTTTTTGTGTCCATATTGCAGACGGCAACTCCAAACTAACATGGCAGTCAGACTGTGTGATGTGGCTTCTCTGCTTAGAAGTGGTTCGTGGGCAGCAGAGCCTTGGACCGGGGTCTGTGGGATTTTTCTTAAATTCTGTAGGCTATTTTTAACATGTTACAATGGTGCTGAGGCCATACCAAACACTTTAAATCATACTTGGAATAATTTGATACATATTTTCTAAGTTTTGGGTAGGAATTAGGCTGTGTCCCTGGTCTTGGGCAGGGCAACTTCTAAACTTCTAATATACATAAGATTTCCTTGAATGCCACCTGCCTTCTTCTTGATTGTAACTTGAATTATCTGTTTATTTTAGTATAATGAAAAAAATAGTATTGTATTAAAGCTGTTTTGGTATGGTCTGAATGCTGTATAAGTCGCTTTTGAAAGTAATTTATATTGTGTATTTTTTTGGTTACTGATTGAAATAATAGAATTTTCACTCATTGACTTGCTTGGCTGGAAAGAGTAAAATTCTGGACAGATGCAAATCAGGTTTCTCATCAGGTGAACAGTTTTCTCATAAATCTTGTAATGAGGATCTAATTCGTTAAAAGTGTAGGATGCTAATGTCTTATGCAGAAGCAAATGGTTCTGTGTCAGTGGCATTGTGATTTATCACAGCACTACTGCACCTGTACATGCAAACATTATCTATTTTCACATTTATGAGGCAAGAATAAAATGCTGCAACCAACCAGTTCCCCTTTTTAAATCGTGCTGATTAGTCAGTCAATCAACATGTCACAGTTAGACACTTCTAGGAAGCTTCAGTCTGAAGATACTGTTGCTGCCCATCACTCTTCCAGAAATGGGAATGTCTGACTAGAAATCGGTTTAAATTGTTCTTAGTTGATTTTTGCGTAGCCAGCTAGGTTTTGTGGGAGTTCAGAAGTTAACCTGTAAGCATATATTAGTGAATAATAAATATTTCTTTATCAGTAGTCATGTGAATTTGTTGAGATTTCCTCACTTTTCTGGAACCCGGTCATTTTTCTGGGTGATCCATAATCCCCCCTCTTCCTTTCCTTAAATATATCTATAAACTAACAGAAATGCCAGTATTGAGATAGCTTTTTTCAGGATACTAGCAGGTTAACTATTGTCAAAATCCTGAATACTGGATTTATTGTGAATAGAGTCTGCAAAAGAAATAATTTGCCACCTTCCCCTTTTTACAGTTCTGAGGGCTGAAGTTGGGCCTGTAGGGACTGTTTTGCTGCTGTAATTCCTGTTATTCAATCTTGCATAAGCTCTTGCATGAATGAAGCAAAGGCTTTTACATGATGCCATGGCAGGTGGGACTTCTTACCTTCTCCATCCTTTTGTATTGCCTTCTGCCATATTCCATGATGGGCCCAAGACCCTTGGGAACAGCTTTTCAGGGGACTATGTAAAGAAGACAGGAGAAGCTCTGCTGCTCTTTTGGCAGTATAAAACAAGCTCATTGAGAACCTGTCAATTGCTGCCTTTTGTCCTTTAGTGAATTTGGGGTAGCATAATTTTATCAGCACAACATAATTGTGTGTTAAGCTATTCATTGGGGTTAGAGTTATGTTCTGTCTTGGCAGGTTCAATAAAATGTAGATTCTCAGGCTTGGAAATCTTACTGGAAACTGACCAAGTACCTAATCTCAAAACAGAACATTTAGGCTTTGTGTAGAAGAGTTACTAACGGCTGCATTGTAGCAGTCCACCTGAAATTGAAACCAACCTTTTGCATGTAGGGTAGAACAAGTTTTAATCCTCTGTTCGAGATGAACAATCCTTGTTTTGTTGACAGATTTATGGACTAGCTCAGTTTAACTGGATGTGCACATCTGCTTGTACTACTCTAGGGGCATTGGAAGGAGCAGCAGAGGTCCAAATTGTCGCATTCTAATTGGTGGTAAATCTTTTCATGTCATCAAAGCTCCAGAAATGTAGGGCAAAAGTAGACTTGCCAGCATTTCTAGGTTTAAAGCTTGTCAATTGCAAAGGCTTTTGGAACAGGAAAATTACTTGCTGGTAGTAAGTTCAGTGTATTAAACCCTCTTCCTACTGGAAAAGTAACCAAAACAGTACATTGTTTATAATAATGCCTTCCCGTGAACTCTACTGTGTGCCATTGTTCACCTTTTTTTTTAATAATTGTGGAAGCTTCCCAGATGTGACTCTTGTACTTGCTCACTGCTGAGGCTATTCCTGAATTCATTATATCCACAGCTAAATTTTTAAAGTAGTTACTGAAATAATTTAGCAATGGGTTAGGGAAAAAAATGTTTCTAATTCCTTGATATTGAGCTCTTGAGACTTTTTTATAGTCCAGATGTAGAGAGTCTTTTAGTAAAGTCTTTTGTGTTGCTTTAAAACTTTGGGGGTGTGAGGGGAGGAAAGGAAAACTGTTTTGTTGTAGAGCCATTATTGCAGCCCTAACAATTGGCCACTCTTTGCATAGTGACGAAGATTTAAGTTCTCAGCTAGAATCGTTAATAGATTCTGAAATATGAATTCTGACAGTTCCCATTTTCTCTGTTTTTAGCAGGTAATTGCTGCCATGGAAACACAACTGTCTAATGGACCAACTTGCAATAACACAACCAATGGTCCTACTACCATAAACAACAACTGCTCATCACCAGTTGATTCTGGAAACACAGAGGACAGCAAAACCAATTTAATAGTCAACTATCTTCCTCAGAACATGACACAAGAAGAGCTGAAAAGTCTTTTTGGGAGCATTGGGGAGATAGAATCCTGCAAACTTGTAAGAGACAAAATAACAGGTATGTAAGCAAACAGGCCTTAGTGTGTGCATGTAACACAGATGTTACTTTTAAGCAGGGGCCTGAATAGCATTACTTGCTTGTGAATGATAGGAGAAGAGTTTCTGGGAATTGGCTTGAACAAGGGCTTAGCATTTCATCCTGGCTGTCATGTGTTAAATAGAAGATTTAACCAGGCTTTCAAAGAATAACCCGAGTAGCTTTCAAAGGCTTTTGGAAAAAGAGATTTAATTGTAAAGATGACATAACAGTCCACATTGCCTGTGAACAATACTTTTGCTTTCACAAAGGAATCTCAATTACCAGCAGATTTTTAAAGCTGCTTTTTCTTAACATTGTTTTTTCTTATGGCTTGAGAGGTGAACCAAAAATAGGGCTTGAAAATATGAAGCTGTCCTTAGTCTCTGATGGAGCTCTTTGTACTATCCCCAGCTGTGATTGAGTGGATTGAAAATGTAGATATTAGTATTTAGGGGGATTGCCCAGTCTGTCTGCACAACCTTTGTATCTACTTGATTACATATATGCTTCCTGTGTGTAACTCTGCCATATGAGAAATAAATGTCCTTAGTCTTGGTTGGTACTGTCTTTCTATCCACATTAAAGCTGCTGAGTGAAAGGATGGGGGGGGGGCTATCTATAGAAAACCATAATTAACCCAGTTGGCTCTATTAATACTCTAGAAAGGAGTCCCAATTCAAAAAGCTGATGTTGTTATGAAAGTAACTTAGATATGGGTAGATATGGGTAGGTGGCAATCATATAGGCAAAAATAGAACTGTTGTGTGACTAAATAAAATTTAAGTAGAATTTATACTGTTCATAGGCATGTGTCTGATGACTATAAATAGTAGGCTGGTACTAAGAAGAGGTTTCCGTGGTCAGCTCTTTAAGTTCAGCTGGCTTCTAAACTCTCTGCAGTATTCACATGAACTGTGTAACATGCAAGGCAGGAGCTCAGACTTTGGTCCCAAGCTCTGCAACATAACCTTCAAAAAATTCATGTTGCTGGTTGGATTCTTCCTGTGGATTGCAAGTTGTGCCTCTGTCACCTGTCATTTACAGCATATTGCTGCCTAGGTAGAGAGTAAATTCCGTTGTCCCACATCTCTTCTGTTATCTGAGCCAAAGAGAGGAACTTTCTCTCTCTCTCCCCCCTGCCTCTGTCTCCTGACTTTTGTTTTAGCTTCCGTATTTTGTATTCGTGGCAGCTTCCCAGGTTAGCATCTCATCTTGTTCTCTCCTTGTTCCCATTCATCACCCTGTTCAGAAGTTGGCTGTCATATTGACACTCAAGTGTTGGCAACTCCCTGTGTTTTCTGTTCTAAAAAGCATTAAGGAATCTTAAACATTGTAAACCTAATGCTTTGGAAGGGTTGCCTTAATGGCTGCAAGTCAGCTTGAATAATTAGCAATTAGCAGCTTCTCTGCCTTGGAGATTTTTATGTGTGATTTAGCTTAATGCTCCTTGTGGCAAGGAATAGATAGCACGTATGCCTTGCTGATTCTTTATTCTTCCTGTCCCTCAACCGCCCTGTCCTCTGCATAGCTGATATTGCGGCTTTGATCTGGCTGTTCAGGAGCCTCTCTCATTTAATATGTAATAAGTACAGAATTGTGGTACTTTTGGATCTCCAGAATTCCCTGATCATTGCAGAATAGGAGTTAAATTCCCAGACTAGGACCTGGGAAAACAGGTTCAAATCCCCAATCTGCCCTGGAGTGCCAGTCACACTGCCTTTCAGCCTAGTCTACTCTCAGGGAGGTTGCAATAATAAAATTGAGGAGGGGAGACTAATGTATGCAGCTCTTAGCTCCTTGGAAGAAGGTTGCGATAAATAAGTAACAAATAGTAGAAGGGTTCTGGTGCATCTTACCTTCATAGGTGCCCCCCCCCATAAAAACAAAGTGGCAGATCTTTACTAGGAGCTGTGCGACAGGGGGGGGGGGCATGGCATGGACAGCAAACATCCTGAACACATGAAGCTGCCTTATGCTGAATTAGATCCTCGGTTCATCGAGATCAGTGTTGTCTACTCAGACTAGCAGTGGCTCCCTAGGGTCTCAGGTAGAGATCTTTCTGTTGTTAGCTGCCCCAAGCCCCATTCTGGGGGAGGGCTGGGATTAAAAAAAAATCTGATTAAACAAATTTCACATCAGCCTACTACCTGACACTTTCTTATCTGGAGATGCTAGGGATTGAACCTGGGACCTTCTGCATGCAAGGCAGTTGTTCTCACACTGAGCCATCATCCCTCAGACTTAATGTGCTGTGGTGTTTAAATGAGCTGTGGTGGCAAGTGAGATATGGAATATCCCTGGTTACATCTTGTCTCGTTGACCTACTACATAGCTTTCTATGGCTCTCTCATCTTCAGTGTGCTCCCTCCCCCCAATCTGCAAGTGTAACAGCTGGTTGTAAGGACTATTGAGAACATATGTGGAGTGTATTCAGAACTTCCAATGTGCTTGTGAGGCAAAGCACACACAGACACCCAGTTACTGTGAATGGTTATGGCTGGTTCCATCATGCAGGTTTTACTGATTGATCTTGCAGCCTACATAGTGCTTATCTTCAAGGCCAGAGCTGAAGATGTGGTAATTAGCTTCTCATAAGAACCTGTGGCCCACAGGATGGAAGGAGGAGAATCAGGAGTGATGAGGTAATTTTCTAGAGGGTTCTAGCAAGAATGTGTTCTGATTGTCATTATCACCTGACGCAGCTTGGCCAAAAAACTATAATTGAGCTAAGGGCCTAGAGAAAGAAGCTAGCTTGGATTCTGATGGACTGAAGGCCTGGACTATAATGTGCTTATATTGCAGTAGAGAGCAGCGTAGAGAACTCATGAGCTACAGCCTTTGACTCTTGGACTCAAGGTTTGTGCCATCTATTGCAAGTCTTGATTGTTTTCTTGTTTTTCTGCTCTATGGCTTTAGGGCATTGTGTTGCCAGTAGCATGGATCTTTGTTTTGATAGAGATTAAATACAACTTCATAATATTTTTATAAAATAAAGGTTTAGTTTTTTGTATACAACAGCCCTGGGGACCCATGAGGTTCAGCTTTGGATTCCCTGATACGTGCTGTTCAAGTGTTAAGTATTACAGGCTACCTTGGACAATAAAACTGGCATGCATTGAGTATGTCAGTATTACTGGGAAGAAAAATAACTTGTACAAAAGCCACTGGTAGCTTGACTAATAGCTTGGGTGGATTAAGAGAAATCTCTAAACTGCTCAGTCTGTAAATTGCAGTTTACTGAAGGCCTGGACTATAATGTGCTTATACTGCAGTAGAGAGCAACATAGAGAACACATGAGCTATAGCCTTTGACTCTTGGACTCAGGCAGTTTGAACCCAGGTCTCTGTTAGAATCCATTTGTTCAGAGAAGAAGAAGAGATTGGATTTATACCCTGCCCTTCACTACCCAAAGGTGTCTCAGAGCGGCTTACAAACTCCTTTCCCTTCCCCTCCCCACAACAGACACCCTGTGATGTAGGTGGGGCTGAGAGAGCTCTGGCAGAAACTGCGCTTTTTCAAGAACAGCTCTTATCAGAGCTACAGCTTGCCCAAGGCCATCCAGCCAGGTGCAAGCGGAGGAGTGGGGAATCAAACCCGGTTGTCCCAGATTAGAGTCTGCGCACTTAACCCCTACACCAAACTGGCTCAGAGGACCACACTAGATACTTGTGGAAGAAAAAAAAGTCAAGAGGGAATGGGCACTTCGGTTAATATTCATCTGCTGCCTTCCTTGCAGTGTCTTGAGCTAAGCACTTGTTTCCCTGACTCCCTTCCTGGAAGATAAATTACATAGGGCAGGGCCCAGATCTAATCCTGCTGGGCTACTAACCAAAGGTGTAAAATTTCCAGAAATGTTGAAGCCATGGAAATGGTGGGAAAACTGAAATATGTACAGTACTTTTCCTAACCAAACCAAAAACTTATTTTATTTGGTTCATTTATGCCCCACATTTCACCACAATGGGGATCCAAAGCACCTTATATCGTTCCCCACTCCATTTTGTCCTTGCAGCCATTTGCGGGAGGTTAAGCTGAGTGTGTGTGACTGGCCCAAGGTCACCCAAGAAGCTTCCATGGCAGAGTGGAGCTCCAAACCTGGGTCTCCCAGATCCTGATCCAACACTCTAACCATTACAGAACACTCTCATATTTTTGCTATTTTAATAGCATAAAATGCTTTGAGTTGGATCCAGACGACGTTTTCCAGTAGCCGAACTGAACTTTTCTGCCTCTGCCTTTCCACTGATTTCATTGAAAATGATACTCCTGGGGAGATAGACAGGAGACCCTGAGGGGAGTGGCGTGACCAGGGTGGGGGTCAGCAGTGGGAAAGATGAACTGAAAATTGCCAACTTAGTCTGGATCCAACTCATGATGTATAACCTGGCGAGACAGATTTTATACTGTGTGATATGTTTATGTAATTGAAAAGTTTTATAGCTTTTATTTTAGGCACTGTGATGGGGAAACTGGCATGTATATAGGGAGAAAGTAGGGATTTAAATCCTTCCCTTTTGTTCCATTTTCCAACTTGTTAGCCGCCCTGAGCCCATTGGGGAGGGCGGGATACAAATATGAAAAATAAATAAATAAAATATTCCCCACCCGTGATCGCTACTTGTTTCTCTTCTGGGAAGAAGAAGAAGAAGAAGAGATTGGATTTATACCCCGCCCTTCACTTGGAGTCTCAGAGCGGCTTACAATCTCCTTTCCCTTCCCCTCAACAGACACCCTGTGAGGTGGGTGGGGCTGAGAGAACTCTGACACAAGCTGCTCTTTTTCAAGGACAGCTGTGCCAGAGCTTGTGAATGACCCAAGGTCACATCAGCAGGTGCAAGTGGAGGAGTGGGGAATCAAGCCCAGTTCTCCCAGATTAGAGTCCGCACACTTAACCACGACACCAAACTGGCTGTCATACAGCATACAGTTACCCGAATTTTGCCCAGTGAGTCAAAAGTCACTTTTTTTAGTGTTTTCA